CACGTTGCTACCTGACCTGGGCTTTCTCTCTAAATATTCTTCTTCTCTCACAAGCTGTAGATGATGTACCCTAATGTCACTGGTTCTTTCTGTCAGAGTAGTGTTTTCCATGCCAATCTTTATTTCTAAACATCCCAGAACTGATTTCATACCAAATACAACAGCTGGTACTGTTGACATTCATTTTCATTCTTAAATTAACACCACCCCTCTCTAACCCAAGCTTTAATGCAGGCCACACCAGGGCTGGGTTTGCATTTAAACATCAAAGCAAGTAATGACTTCAGCTGAAGAGAGGCAAACCCGTGATTACTGCAGACGGCTTCCTCCTGCACACAGCTATTGCTCAGGAAGAGGAGGAGAGACAGAGGGAAGCCAAGGGTCAGCCCACGTCCTATTTTGCACCTTCTGGTTTACCAAATTAAGAGCAGGACACTCCAGTGCACCTGACACAGGACAACCCCAAAAGCTCCTTGTCTCTGGAAAGTGAAAGAAAAGGGTGAAGGTAGGGGAAGGAGAGAAACCTGCTTTGGCACTGCTCTGCTGCAAACTGCACCCAAAGAAGAGCATGTCATTGCAATCACACACTTGGTCTAACAGCTCTGCACTGCTATTTTTACATGACTGTTTCAAGTCCCTTGAAGCATCTGCAAGCCCCTGAGGAGAACGTAGAAAACCCTCCCTACAGACAGCTATCCCAAGCCAGCCATGGGATCCAGGGATGTGTCAGAATGCAGAAAGATGAGGTTGAGGCACTTTGAAATGTTTCCTCCTTTTTCTCCTCCAGCCTTTAAATCCTTCTTATACAGGTATAAACAGGTGAAATGATTTGCTTGAGACCATCAAGGCAGAAGCAGGAATATAATCAGGTCCTGGTGTGTTCCAAAGGACCAACTCTTCTCTCCACCATAGCTTTTAGCACAGACCATTCCACCAAAGAAAACAGGCCAGAAGAAATGTGGGATCATGCTGCCCTAAAGGCAAGAGATACATGGAACAGCCATTCTTTACCAGAGGGCTTACAAAGGACTTGAATTTTCTACCAGGGTGCCACAGGCCATGGGTTTAGAGGGACTTGACCACGTTCACATCAGAGCACAGCATGCCTACCTTCCCTGTTGAAGCCTGGTTCTTCCAGAGCAGAATCTCCGAGTCGGAGAGCCCCAGTTCCCGGAGAGAGGCAGTTTCTTTGTTGCTCTCCTGCAGGGCCTGGAACTGCGACAAGGTCAAAGCCCCCGCAGCCTCTTCCCCAAAAGGCTTGTAAAAAGCTGCAGGGGCAAAGCATCTCCGCTTTGATTTGCACCTGTACCCAAAGCAACAGAACAGCAGAAACAATTTAGTACTGAGAAACTGGGGGAATAGGAAGGGGCTGGCCTCTCCCCCCAGCCACACTTGGTCCTGCTGCACATAAGCAGAGATGCCGTGTTTCCAAAACACAATTGAGCTACGCTCTCCCGACCCTTTTCCAAGCCCATGAGATCCCGCAGGGCAGGATACTGCCCCAACACAGGTAGGAGGCAGCTCATGACACTGTAACACCAAGCACCCCACAGGTGCAAATGCTCGCCAGCCTAGAAACTCACTCCTGTGTCTGGCCCAGGCAAATCAATTCTTTTCACCTAACAGGTAAAAATAAGTTACCACCTGGAGCATTTGCTCCAGGAGACAAGAAGTGCTTATCTGCTGCTGGGGTGTCCAGGCAGGACAACAGCATGCACCAAACATCTCCCCAGGGAAGAGGCCCCAGTGAGGCGACATTGCTGCTGCCCCTAACATGGCCAGACTCCGCTCACCAGCCCCTCCAGCAGCCCCCCACAGGGGCCAGATCAGGACTTACTGCTCGATGGAGACAGTGGTATCAAGCTGGTGGTGAAGGAGGCTCTTCAGCTGCCTCTCTCCTTCCGTCTCCAAGTCTTCTAGGAGGAGCTCATCGCTGGACAGGCTGCTGTTGACCCTGGGGCACACAAGCACAGCACAGAGGTAGTCAGTAAGGCAACAGGGAAAACACTGCTTGAAATGCACCACTGCTACGGCCTCTCTACCTCCTTGACTGTTTTTACAGGATTTAAAGCACAACAAGGAACCAAAACTACTTGACCAAAGCTCCCACTAATGTTATACTAGAAAAGCCAACATATTTGAGACTGCTTTGAGAACATAAGTAAAAGCTCCCTGGGGCATTTCTAAAAAGAAAAAAAAAAAAAATCACATGCAATCTTATTTTTAGTACTGGAAAGTTGTTTTGTATCAGTATCTAAACAGACATTGCTAGCTTCAAATGACTCAAAAAAGAAAGAAAACTGTGAGGGAGAAACAGTGATTTGAGCAGCACTCTCCGGAAAGCTCCCTTTTCCCTTCCTGGAGTCACCTGCTTCCACGCAGAAGGACACTGCCTCCCTCCATCGTCACCCCACAGACAACACGCATTTTCGCTTGGCAGTGGGGGCCCTGCTGACCCCTCTTTTGGAGGCAGCGCTCCTACACCGTGGGCTTCTGCCGGGCCGTTGGGTGCCCCAGAACCAGGCCATGAGCACCAGCTTGGCTCTCCCCTCCTGTGGGCTGGGAGAAGCCCACGCCTCTCCCGGGAAGCTGTTTCGGGCCGACTCTGCACCGGCGAGGGGTGGGCACGCGGCCCAGTTTCAGGTGAAAGCTTTCACTGCCACTTTTTGGGACCACGGCAGCTCCAGGAGGGTTTGATGCCCCCGGCGGACAGCCCAAAAAGCAGCTTCCCAGGGCACCGCCGTCTCCACAGGAACGTCGTGCCCAGCGAGGCGCCAGATGAATCCCCGGGCCACGCTGTCACCCGGAGGAAAGGCTGACAGGAGCTCCACGCTGGCTGTTCTGAAACAC